AAGCCATTGTTGAACTTGATACAGTAAGTGAAGAGTCATACAAAGGCAGCACACTAATAATGCAATTATTGAGAGACAACTTGACATTGTGGACATCGGATACCCAAGGAGATGAAGCTCAAGCAGGGGAAGGAGGAGAAAATTAACTGGCCTTCCAACTTTTGTCTACCTCATTCTAAAATTTACACAGTAGACCATTTGTCATCCATGCTGTCCCACAAATAGTTTTTTGTTTATAATTTATGACAGGTTTATGTTACTTCTATTTGAATTTCTATATTTCCCATGTGGTTTTTATGTTTAATATTAGGGGAGTAGAGCTGTTTAACATTTAGGGAGTTATGTTTTCATCTTGAGATGGCCAATATGGGGATGTAGAATTTTTATACAAGTTAAAAATATTTGGCATAGTACTTTTGGTACATTGTGGCTTCACAAGGGCCAGTGTTAAAACTGCTTTCATGTCTAAGCAAAGAAAACTGCCTACATATTGATCTGTCCTGGTGGAGAATAAAAGGAATAATTGGTTCCAGTCACAGGTGTAGTTGTGGGTATTTTGGTTTTGGAGCACTTGGAGGGCTGTGGTAGAAATGAATAGCCCATGGATAGTACATGTTGAACCATATGTGTACTTGAGGAATACTCGGTCTCAATGTGCACACCTTTGACAAGAGCTGCAGAAGTTCCTTTAGTTGTGACCCAGTTTACTCTGGATAAGGGCAGAAATGGTTCACATTCCATTATTTGTAAAGTTACTTGCTGTTTACTTTCATTATTTTGCTCCACTCATTTTATTTGTATTTAAATGTTTTAGGCAACCTAAGAACAAATGTACAAGTAAAGATTCTGTAAAATGAATTGCTTGATGTTCATTACTTCAAGTATATCAAACACAGCAGTAAAACAAAGCAAACAAAAATAAATTTATTTATTTATTTATTTATTTATTTATTTATTTATTTATTTATTTTGAGAGAGAGGGAAACATTGATTTGTTGTTCCACTTATTTATGTATTCATTGGTTGGTTCTTGTATGTGTCCTGATTGGAGATAGAACTTGAGACCCTTAGGTCCGCAGGCCAATGTTCTAACTGCTGAGCCAAACCAGCCAGGGCTCTTATTTTTCAATATAAATAAAAATGTTGGAACTATACTTGTTAGTCAATGAAGTGAATGAATTTCTGTGGAATCATATAGTAACCAACCATTTGTTCATGGTCTGGTTTTTATCAAATCTTGGATACATTGCAACCATAGGTTGGCTACAAATATAAGAATGAGCAAAATCACCTGGCTGTTGTGGCTCAGTGGACTGTCGTCCCATGGACTGAGAGGTCCTAGTTCAATTCCCAGTCAGGGCACATGCCTGGGTTGCGGGCTGGATCCCCAGTTGGGGGCGTGCAGAAGGCAGCTGATCAATGTTTCTCTCTCACACCAATTTCTCTCTCTCCCTTCCCCTCTATCTAAAAAAATCAATAAAAACATATTTAAAAAAAATAATTAGCAAAAATGAAAGAAATCATCCTAAAGAGCAATTAATACTATAGAATTACAATAAAGAGCACAGCATAATTTAGTATTTATATTTATGAATATATATTTAGTATTTGTAAATTGTTTACATAGTATTTATAAATTGTGTAAATTATTTTACAGCTTTGTATCAGTAAAATTTATAATAAACTTATGTATGTATATAGATGCATACATTTTTTCCCAGAGACCTAGTTGTCAAGCATTTACCAGCATACCATGGGAGACACAGTTCTAGGCAGAGAGCGTCAAGGGGAGTTCAGCTGGTCAAGGCATAGTGAGAAGGGAGGTATTGAGGCTGGAGCACTAGGACAGATGTGAGGGCATTGTGAGCAGGACTAGGGAGCCAGACACCATCCTGAGGGCCATGGGGAGTCACAGAAGGATTCTAAGTACTGGAGAGACCCCATCAGGTCTGTGTTTAGACCTCTGGGTCAATTATGTTGACAGTTATATGAAGATTGGATTGTTAGGGGCAGATTATGAAATACTGAAATAGTGGAGGGACAGAGAGTAATAGGAGCAAACTCTCAAGAGCGGTTACTATAGCCTGGCTGGTGTGGCTCAGTTGGTTGAACATTGTTCTATGTACCAGGAGGTTGCTGGTTCGATTATATATATATATACACACACATATATATTTAAAAACATATTTTTTTAGAAAAAGAGAATTTGCTATAGGCCAAGCCCACTCGTCTAAGCCGTCTGTGTGTGTTATTAGCTTATTTAATATTCACAATAACTTTATGCAGTAGATACCCTTATCTCCTTTTTATAGATAAGAAAACTGAGGCACAGAAAAATTAAGTAACGTGTAACCAAGAGAGCTGGGATTTGAACCCAAGAGTCTGGCTTCAGAGGCTACACTCTTAACCACTATATATTATGTTTTTAGACTAGAAAGATAGTGAGATTTGGAATGATGTTTCTTAATTTTAATGCATGTACAAAGTTGACCATGTACAGACAGACATGTTTTGCATATAGTAGGAGCTTGAGGGCATTCTTCAGACCCAGCAGGACCTGACTCAGTGAGAATGGGGTATGAGGAGCCAGGGTAGGTGGATTTTACAAGCTTCCTTCAGCTGCTGGATAATATGCTTACGTGACCACTCTGGCCTCCTGTTTCTCTGTGTTTGTAGACTGTCTCTCTGTCCTCAGGGAGGTCCCAGTCTTGGGGACAAAATCCTGAGCAGGAATACAGGTGGGAGAGGACAAGAAGAGACAAAGCCTGGTGGGTCCAGAGTGGGGTTCTTTTTTTTTAATCCTCACCAGAGGATGTTTTTCTGTTTGTCTTCAGATAGAGTGGGAGGGAGGGATGGGTGAGAAGGGGGGGGGGGAGAGAGAGAAACATCAATGTGAGAGAGAAACATTAATCGGTTGCTTCCTGAATGTGCCCTGATCCAGGATCAAACCTGCAACCTAACCATGTGCTCTGACTGAGAATTGAACCTTAAGCCTAATGGTATATGGGACCAACTGAGCCACTTGGCCAGGGCCAGAGTGTATGTAAGCTAAGAGGGGTGAGAGATGTGAATTATCATCTACAGAAAGGACTTCCGTAAGGGAGGCACAGATAGGAGGCATGGGCTTTAGACAGGGGAGAGGAGAGATGATGGGTTCTGTTGCCATCCTGGTTTTCCCCCTAGGGCATCTGTATTTACAGCAAAAGTCTGATGGTAGCCCTCAAGGTACAGTGACAGATGACAGCTCAGCTGCAGATATATGGATATGAATATAACCATACATACAAATTTGAAAGGAATAGAGGTGCCTTTCTGCCACGAGTCCTGACTGAGGGTGTGGGCAGGAGATAATAAGGGTGGAAGTGGAGAGTTGAGGGTACTGGAGGTTGGTGGTAGGGCGGGCCCCACACAGGGTGTTGGTCCCCTGAGGCCACATCTGTTAGCCTGGGGCTTCCTATCCTGCTGGTTCAGCAGGTCCCACGGATTAGCAGGTGATTCACCCCTTACCCTCATATGGCCCTGTTTCAGGAAGGGACAGAGGGTGTTGGAATGGAACACCCATGTGTTCACCTACATGGGATATATGCTGTGTTACATGCCTGAGTCAGAGATGTGTGCCCATGTTTGAACTGTGCATACAGGCTAGGAAGTCCCTGTGCACATATGCCACGTGGGCTGTGCCAAGTAGAGGGCCGCAGGTGTGAAGGTGCGCGCAGTATGAGGAGGAGGGGGCATGGGTGAACACACAGCTCTTCCCAGAGCACATGTGCATGGGTGCAGGTGTTTCCCTGAAAGAGGGATGCAGGTTTAGAGCCTGCTGAACCATTAGAGGAGGAGGCTGGGTGGGAGGCAGGTGAGGAGAGCTCCTTATGATAGCTTACTCTCTTAAAGGAAGGCTTGGCTGGACCAGCAGGCAGAACTGGGCACTCTAAACCCATGGTGATGGCAGCGATTTCTCTAAGGTTATCCCTTAAGCCCCTGGCCGCAGGCCAGGGTGGCGCCCTCATCCTAACCCTGAGAGGGTGTGCACATCCCACAGGCCACATAGGCAAGTCAGGAGCAGCGAGCGTGGCAGGTGGGCATTGAGCCAGAGCTTTCTCTTACCCTCTCGCAGGCCAGAAGGACATATGGGTTCAGGTGGTGTCTGATCTACTGGGATATGGGGAAAGCATGTTAGCCCCAGGTTGCCCATGCCCCTGCTTCATGTGCACTCTGTGTGCTGGCATGTAGTATGCATGCACACCCATGTTTGGGTGCGCTGGCTCCTGACACAGTGCCCGGGGCCTGCTGCTGCCTTCCCATCATGCTCCATGATCTGAGAGATGCTTGAAGTGGGGCCAAGAGCCTGGGCTAGGAGGCAGGAAGCCTGGGTTCTACTCCAGGATTTCACTCAGTGACTTTGGAGATGTTCCTTTACCCTCTCGGGGCTCAGCTTTTCTACTGTGAAATGTGGAGGGACAATAATCCCCATGGGGCCACCTCACAAGGCTGTTGGGCAACTGATTTTCATGGAGGTGTTTGGAAACTCAGGAGACTTTGGTCCTGGAGGCTTCACGTGGGGTAATGGCAGAATTCTCTGGACCGCAAACCGACGCTCTAACTGCTGAGCCAAACAGGCCAGGGCAAATGGCAGAATTCTCTGGTTGTTCAGTTGAAGGACGAGGGGTTGAAAGCAGGTAACAATTTCCAGAGAACTTGCACTCTGACCTACAAGGAGTGTTCAAATCTCTTAGAGAAGCGAGGCATTTAGAGTTCTGGGGCTGAGCTTCAAAACAAATTAATGTTACAGGTCAAGACCTGCCCAAGGTGAGGCTGGTAAAGTCTGTCCACCCATTTTTGCCCCTTCCTGACACTGCTGGCCTGCTGGGGGTGAACAGCAGTGCCCACCGTACAGACACTGCTCACAGTTCTCCCAGTCTCTCATTCCCCACCCCCACCCCCACCCTACCCCACACCCAGCTTGCTATCTCTCCAGCTCATACTTCCCCAAGTTCAGAGTTTTCATCCCCAGGCTGCAGGCTTAGCCAGAACAAACAGACAGCACCAAAGTAAACAAAACAAGAAAGGAAGCAGCACAGGTGACGTGGAAAAGAAAACTTGGAAGCCACAATAAAGGTATGTGAGCTAGGCTGTTGTCTTCCCTCAGAGCAGGATGCTGGGGCTAAGGTTAATCTTGCCAGTCCCGTGTGAGTAGCAGGAACAGACTCATGGCCAAAGGAGTCAGGTTAGACCACCAACAGGGGCGTTAGTGCCCAGGATCGTGAATGCAGCTAAAAAGGATTTGGTTAAGAGGGAGAGTATTTTGCCCTGGCCAGTGTGGCTCAGCGGTTAGAGCGTTGGCCTGTGTCCAGAGAGACCCGGGTTCAGTTCCCGCTAAGGGCACGTACCTTTGTTGCAGTTTGTCTCCGGCCCTGGTTGTGGGGGGTGGCGACCACTTGATGTGTCCCTTTCATATCGTTGTTTCTCTCTCTCTCTCCCTCCCACTCTATCTGAACAAAATATCAAAAAATGTCCTTGGGTATGGATAAAAACAAAAAACAAACAAACAAACAAAAATAGAGGGAGAGTATTTCAAGTCCCCACCTCCCCAGGAGGCAGCCTGTCCAATGCCCTGAGTGTCCCAATCACTGGGTGAGCTTGTTGCTTGAGTAGGTGATTGTTGGTTGCTCTGCTCACCCCCAGACCCCAAATGGCAACTAGGGTGTCAAAATCAGTGAGTTGAGTGACCAGTCTGCAATGGGAAGGGTTGGGAGACCAGACAAACCCAGCTAGAGCAGCTTGAGATCTGGGTGGAAGTCCACGGGCTTCGGTCTTGCTGTCTGTGGAATGAGCACAGTAATATTCCACCCCCAGCCCTTCTACTTGGTCTTGGTGTCAGGCAAGAGTCAGTCAAGGCAAGCGGGGTTGGGGGTAGGGTCCTCGTCCTCAAACAGACATCCTCTCTACCACATAGTGTTTATTCTCCACCAGGGACTTACCATACCCCTTACCAACTTAATCTATTTTCCCAACAACCCTTCGAGGTGAGGATTAGTATCTCCATCTAACAGATGAAGAAACAAAGTTAAATATCTTGCTTAAAGTTACCCAAGTCAATTAAGAGGCTGAACTGGATTCAATCTCAGGTTGGCCAGCTATAAAGCCTGAGCTATGAACCACAGCTTACCACTTGGATGGGAGAGCCCCCCCAACCCCCACCTCATGCCCCTCAGCCAGCGGCCAAACTTCAAACCAGCCCAGACTCAGATTCCTGGCAGGAGGTCCTGGGTTTCCCATTGCTCCCTCTGCCACCACTTCACTCTTTCAATCTTCTCGTGAAGTCTCCCTGATTCTGACATGTCCCTCTTTGCTCTGATTAATCGGGTACCAGAGACTCCACTATTACTAGACCTTTTCTGTGGGTTAGGAAATTGCTGTTTAGAGCTTTTCCTTTAAAATGCTTTAGTATGGAAGAATTTTGAAATTGATTAAGGCAAAAATCAAAGGACGAAACTGGAAGGTGAATGGCTAATGGGGAAACTTGACAATGGAAGGATCTGCTGCCCTCTGAACCCACTGCTCGTCAGCATCACTAAGCATGGGGCAGCTAGACATTATGGGCTTCTGAATGAGATGCAAGAGGAAGCACATAATACTGTTCAAAAAGGATTCCTCCCATCCCCTCAAAATTGAACCTAAATAAAATCACACTATTAGAGCTAACTTCCTGTATATTGTGAGAAATATAGGAAATGGAGGAAAAGTTAAATGACAGCACAAGGAAGCAAACAGATCAATCTAGAAAACCAACTTTCTATAGAACCACATTTATTCAATAAGTCAGTGACATGAACAAATAAGAGAGAGAGTGGGGAACTACTCATGTTTAAAAGAGCACTTAGTCCCTGGCTGGTTTGGCTCAGCAGTTAGAGCCTTAGCTGGCAGTCCAGAGAGACCTGGGTTTGGTTCTCACTAAGGGCACATACCTCGGTTGCGGTTTGTCCCCAGCCCCGGTTGGGGTCGTGTGGGTGGAGGCCAGTTGATGTGTCTCTCTCACATCTATGTTTCTTTCTCTCTCTTCCTCCTCCTCTCTCTCTCGCTCTGTCTGAGGATGGGTGCAAAAATGTCCTTGGGTGAGGATAAAAAAAAAAAAGAGCACTTAGCCCTGGCCAGTTTTCTCAGTGGTTAGAGCGTTGGCCCACAGACCAAAGAGTCTTGGGTTTGATACCAGTCAAGGTCATGTACTTCGGTTGCAGTTCAGTCCCCAGCCTTGGTTGGGGTCATGTGAAAGGCAACTGGTTGACGTGTCTCTTTCACATTGATGTTCTCTCTCTCTCTCTCTCCCTCCCTCCCTCTCACTCTATCTAAAAATAAATGGGAAAGTGTCCTCGGGTGAGGATTAAAAATAAATAAATAAAAAGAGCACTTAACCCAAGTAACGTGTGATTTTGTTGGGATCCTGACTCAAACAAACTAACAAATTAATGCAAAAAGATATTTTGAAATAATTATGGGCACCTGATCATTCCATGGATTTGTTCATTTTTGTTAGGTATGGCATCATGATTATGTAAGAAAATGTTCATTTTAGAGATGAATGTTGGAGAATATAGAAGTGAAATGACATAATGGTTGGAATTTGTTTTTAAATACTTCGTAAGAAAAGAAAAAAGACTGATGAAACCAGAATGGACAGATTTGGGAGAAGTTTAGATGAGGTTGGGCTGGAGCAGGGGAAGGCAGACATGTCTATTAGATGTATGAGAGAGAGGGAGAGAGGGACACTGCATCTGGAGCGCTAGGACTGGGGAGATGGCAGCATTTGCATGGTTGGAGAGGACATCGGGACGTGCAGGGCCAACTTCTCCAGGCTGCGTGCCCGCAAAAATGGTCTATTTAAGGGCCCACAAAAAAATGTGTTTATTTTTAAGTTTATTTATGTTTTCCATTGATTTTTAGGGTGGAAGGGAGGGGGATGTGTGTGTGTGTGTTTGTGTGTGTGTGTGTGCGTGTATACACAGAGAGAGAGAGAGAGAAACATCAATTTATTGTTCCACTTATTTATGCATTCACTGGTTGATTCTTGTATGTGCCCCGACAGGATAAAACTCACAACCTTGGTGTATCGGGACAATGGTCTAACCAAGTGAGCTACCCAGACAGGGCATAGAATACACTTTATTTAAGATTTTAAAGGAGGAGGGCACCCACCAGGCAAAAGTGGCAAGGGCTATAAAAGTCAAAAGTGGCTCTAGGATGGGGAGAAGACTTCCAGAGATGGAGCCTGAGGGAGGCAGGAAGCCACTAAGCCTGCATTGTGGGGAACAACCCCACTGGGAGAGGTCCAGGAATCAGGAAGGCTACACCCTGCTCAGGGATTCCAGTGTTCCACTGAGCCTTCCTGGCTGAGGCCTGTAGGTGCCGTGACCCAGTCCCTGCCAACACAGACCTCTCTGCATAGGCCCTTGGTGTAATCACTATGTGCTTGAAATGCTGTCAATAAGATGGCAGGCTTTTCTGCTGAAGGGGGACGTGCTGTGATGGGTTCCTCTAGGTCTCTACTCCCTGTTTGTCCTCATTGGAACACCTATATTTGGAAAGGCCTTGAGATTTGGGCAAAAATAAGGGAGTGGGGAGGTGTCTTAGGGACCCATTGGCCTTGTCTATTTGGAGGGAAAAAAGAGGCTGCCCAGCTTGGGGAGCCCCCAGTGTGAGTGGGGAGACAGGGCAGTCACATCACACTGGGGCTTCCAGGCTACGGGGCCTGCCTACTTTCTGGGCTGAGCAGGAGAGTGAAGAGTGAGTAGCTTGCCCTGGGGTTGTTGCGATGGGCTCTCTGCCCACCCCAAGCCCCCTGTTTCAGGCCCATAGCACCTGACCAGATTAGATAGGGCACGTTCCTGCAGTGAGCTGCCCACTGACTGCGACTGTGCTGACGCAGGCAGGAAAATATTAACCCAGTGGAATGGGCTCATACTCATGTGTGCACAACGTTGTGTGTGTGTGTGTGTGTGTGTGTGTGAGAGAGAGAGAGAGAGAGAGAGAGAGAACACAGAGTAGTTTTCGCATGCAAGACCAGAGATACATACATGCACACACACACCTGCCCATTCACACACATGTTCACACAGAGACATATACAAAGACACAAATGCTTCTTATACATGCAAATTCCTCCAGTGTCATCTCCCAACTCTGTCAATGAGAACCCCTCTCCTCCAAGAAGCCTTCCCTGATAGCTCCAGCTCATACTAGAAAGTGACAGGCCTGAACTGCATGCCTGGTTTCTGATGCCAAATGAGGCAGTCTGACATGAGCTTTAGAATGGAGCAGGCCTGGGTTTGGATTCTGGTTCTTTGACTCAACAGGATGTTTGCCCTTTTGCAAGTGGCTGTACCTCCTGACCCTGTCTGCTCTAGTTTTTGTCCACTCTGTCCTGGAGGCCTAGGCATGACTGAGAAGGAAGGTTAAGAGCTGGGGTGGGGGGAAAAGGGTCTGGTTATTTCAGAACGTCAGGGTTAAGGACCATCCGGGGTCCTATCTATGCTGCCCCTCCTCAACCCTGTCTCAGACTAGCTGCTTAACCCCCAGCTCTCCTCTCTGGGAGGACCCTGGCCTCCTAGGGCAGGGGCAGATCCCTTATCTGTATATTCTAGTTCTGGGTGAACTTGGGAAAGTTGCTAACTTGCTCTGAATCTCAATTTTCTACCTAAAAAATGAGTCTTAAAGGGGACACTTACCTGGGTGAGGCTTAAGGGTATTTTCATTTTTGAGCAGAATAAGAATCTCACAACTTCAAGTGATTTCAGAGAGACCAGGGCTCCTGAAGGGACCTGCACTGTGCTCCCACCCCAAGTCTAAAACCACTTGATTGAAAACACTTAACATGATAAGTAAGTTAATCAAATGGTATGTTGGTTGAAACAAATAATTAGTTAAAATGATTAGCTTTTTACATATCAACACTTTTGGGGCATTTTGGAGAAGTTCAGAGAATTTTTAGCATCTATGAGTGTTTTTCTTCACTATGATTTTTTGAAAATTTCTACTTGTGTGTTCACTCCTTATTGGGTTTCAACCAATCGTGTCTGCCCCATGCTGTTCATAATAGAGAAGAACTGGATACATTTAAAATTCTGTGCTGTGCAGTCACATACATGATGTAGATGTGGGTCTATTTGTGTGAAAAGTTACTGTGAATAAATGTTTGAGTGAAAAAAGTACTGTACAGGAGCGTTTGAGATCTTGCTCCCCGGCACAAGTCATCAGTTTGGCTTAAATACTCTCTTAAAAAAATACTGTACAAAACTTTTATATAAGTTTCATTCTTTTATTATTTTAGGTAATAAAAGAATCTCACAACTTCAAGTGATTGAGATTTTAAAATTTGTTTTCTACCTTTAAAAAATTTCCACTCCAATGATAGACAATTATATATGCTCCACTTGCTTGGCTATGTGTTCATAAATATTTAAATTTTAAGTTAGATTGAACATTAATGTCACCATTCATCAGTTCACATTGTAAGATTTTTAGTGTTATGAGTAAGAAATGAGAGGTTGATGAGCACTGGGTTATTTCCAACGTTTTGCTAGTAAAAATAGTGTATTACAGACAAAATTAGAATAAGAAAAGTAAACAACTTCTGAAAGAGGGACTAAATACCTAAAGCAATATTAAAGTTTGCAAAAATTGCCCTGTAGCATACTAATATTACCAATTCATTTTCAACCAAATTAGTTTTTATTTATTTATTTATTTTTTAATCCTCATCCGAGGACATTTTTCCTTTTTTGTACAGATAGAGTAGGAGGGAGAGAGAGGAAGAGAGAGAGAGGGAAACATCGATGTGAAAGGGACACATCGAGTGGCTGCCACCCGCACGACCCAACCAGGGCCGGGGACAAACTGCAACCGAGGTACATGCCCTTAGCGGGAACCGAACCCGGGTCTCTCCGGACCGCAGGCCGACGCTCTAACCGCTGAGCCAAACCGGCCAGGGCTTTTTTATTTTTATTTTTTTTTTAATCCTCATCCGAGGACATTTTTCCATTTTTGCAAATTAGTTTTTTACTTAATGGTCTGTTGCTGCCTTCATAAACCTTTTCCTGAGGCCTGTCTGGATGTCAGAAGTGACTGAATGGAAGGACCACATGTCTGCTAACCCCATTTCACAGATTAAGAAACAGAGGCCCAGTGGCAGGGACTAAGCCAAGGTTGTGCAGTGAATTTGATGCTCAACTAGGACTTAAACCCAAATCCATGTGCAAGGCATCTGGAGGGGTCTTCACTGCAGCTCAGAGCTAGGGCATCCAGTTAAAATTTAAATTTCAGAGAAATAATGGATAGTATTTTAATATAAGTATGTCCTAAATATTGCAAATATTGTTGCTCTGAGATTCAAATTTAGCTGAACATCTTATATTTTATCTGGACCACTCTGAGTCTACCCTGTGCAGATAGGGCCCCCAGGTGTCCCCTCTCTGCTCTCTACCATCCCCATTGGCTCTGTCTAGACTCAACACTGACCCAGATGTGGTCCTTTTAATTGCTTTTCTTCTCTCCACAGTTGAACTTTCTTTCTCCTCAGCCACATCAATACTGTGGCCACCCTCCATGCCACCAGTTCATCAAGGTTGGTCCCTTTTCACACCCAACTCTGGGTCCACAGCTTGTCCGAGCTCCTGGTAGCCTGTTGGCAGCCCAGTGTATGGATTTCTATCTCTTCCTCATCTGTTCTTTCTCATTCACCCTCCTGTTCCCAGAATCCTGCCCCTGTCCCTTGCCCCACCCCTCATGTTTCCTGGAAATCCCACTGACTCTCATGGTGAATCCCCAGGTGCTGCTACCTCCTGTTCTCTCCTTTTTCTCTGGCTGGACCCCTCTCCCAAGCTCAGGCCCAACTGTGCCTCTGCCTACTGGATGCTCCAGGGCCTCAAGGACCCTAGATTGGCTACTTTGCTTTTCTCTTAATGGTCCTTAGGCCCTTGGGATAAAGTCTGATCCTGTGTCCTGGCCGACAAAGTCCTTCAGGGTCTGCCCCTGCCAACTTCTCCAGCCCTTCCTCTGCAAGCCACTCACAGTTCCCAGAATACATTAGGTTTTCTCACAATTCTACTGGGCTTCAAATCATCACCCCATCTCACCCTCCCCCACTCACATTGGTGGACTCAGCTCCCATGTCATCTCTTCTGGAAGATTCTTGCCCCCCTACAAGCTAGCTTAGCTGCTGCCTGTATTCCCTCGATCTTATCACAGTGTATCCTAAGTAATCTGCCATTTATCCATCTCTCCCAAGAGACAAAGACGACTGTATCTTCTCCACCTCTGGTCCCCAGCATCCAGCCTAGTAAATGAGCTTAACTGACTCCAACATGGATCTCAGTTTCCTCCCTCATCAGTCTGATCCCAGCCTAATCCAACTTTGCTCAAGCTCTGACCTCATCCTAGACCTCAGCTTCACTTCAAAAAATTTTTTTTCCTTTATTGATTTTAGAGAGAGAGGAAGGGAGAGGGAAAGAGAGATAGCAACATCAATGAGTGAGAACATTGATTTGCTGCCTTCTGCATGCCCTCCACTGGGTATCTGGCCTACAACCTGGGCATGTGCCCTGACAGGGAATCAAACTGGCGACCTCTTGATACATGGGTCAACGCTCAACCACTAAGCCACACTGGCTGGGCTCCATTGATTTTTAGATAGAGTGGAAAGGAGGGAGAGAGCAAGGGGGAGAGAGAGAGAGAGACAGAGAGAGAGATATTGATGTGAGAGACACATCAATTTATTGCCTCCGGCATGACACCCATTGGGGCTGGGGATTGAACCTGCAACCTAGGTAGGTGCCCTTGACTAGGAATTGAACTCTTGACCCTTCCATCCATCCTCAGGCTGATGCTCTAACTGCTGAACCAAACCAGCAGGGCTCAACTCCACTTCTGACTCTTACCTCACCCTCATCCCAACAGCACACACGAGAAAGAAATAAAGGCAGGTGTCCCCCATGTCCAGAGTACATTTTCCTGTCCTGAAGAAAAGACAGCATCCTGACACCATTTGAGTCTGCAGAGGTGAGGAGTGGAGCCTCAGCATGGGGGGCAGTGGAAGAGTTCATTCCTTAAGCACGACTTCTGACTAGGAAGCCCTCAGACTGCAGCTGACCCGACTCTCCCTGTAGGACAAACTGGGGTGGGGACCTGGGCAACTGAGGTTCCAGACCTGGCCTGGTCTATTGGCGCCCTCTAGAGGACAGTTCTATTACCAGAGCTGGCTTTGGGCAACCAACTCTTTTTTTAAAAATTTTTTTCTTTATTGATTTTAATTTGGGAGATGGGCGAGAGGCTGGTTCTTTTTAAAAATCCTTTTCCCGACTTCTGGTCAAGATGGCGGCGTAGGTAAATGCGGTATCGCGTCCTCCCACAACCACATCAAAGTTACAACTAAACTACGGAACAACCATAATTCAAAACCGCCTAAAAATCAAGCTGAATGGAAGTCCTACAACGACGGAATTAAAGAAGCTGCATCAAGACTGGTAGGAGGGGCGGAGGCTGGACGGGCTGGTCCACACCCACGTGTGGCGGATAAAAATCAGGAGGCTACCTCAGCTGGGAAGGTCCTTCCTGAGGACTGAGGGGTGACTGTCCCACACCAGATGCCCCGCTCAGGGTTCCAGTGCCCGGAAGAGAATCCCCATAACTTCTGGCTGGAAAAACCAGCGGGAACTGAGGCTCAGGGAGGCTGACGCGGCTGGAGCCCCAGGCAGCTCCTCTTAAAGGGCCCGCGCACAGACTTATCGGACTCTCTCCCTCTAAGCTTGGAGGGGAGGCAGCTCGAGGGGCGCCAGAGACATACAGGGAAGAACTGAGGTGTTTGGCACTGGAGCGAGGGCTGGAGAGGGGGATTTCTCCAGGACAAATGTGCTGTCAGAGGCCTTTGTTCCTTTGGTGAGCCCTTCCCTGGGGTGGCAGACAGCCACCATATCTGGGACTCCAGCAACCTGGCTCACACTGGTAGCCCCGCCCTGGTGACTCCCTGAGGCCCCGCCCCACCCAACTTTCAGGCCCACCCAAGCTGTTGGCACTTGCTTAACCATAGGATTAGCCTGTCTTGGATCCTGCTTCAGGTGTTCCTAAATTCTTTCAAACAAGCAGCATCTGGTCTCAGCTAGCCCCATACCGCTCATTAAGTAATACACTGAAACAAACACAGGGAGGAAGCCAAAATGAGGAGACAAAGAAACAAGTCCCAAATGAAAGAACAGAACAAAACCCCAAGAAAAGAACTAAGCGAAATGGAGATAAACAACCTAACAAATGCTGAGTTCAAAATACTGCTTATGCCCTGGCCAGTTTGGCTCAGCGGTTAGAGCGTCGGCCTGCAGTCCGGAGAGACCCGGGTTCGGTTCCCGCTAAGGGCACGTACTTCGGTTGCAGTTTGTCCCCGGCCCTGGTTGGTCATGCGGGTGGCAGCCACTCGATGTGTCCCTTCACGTCGATGTTTCTCTCTCTCTCTCCCTTCCTCTCTCTCCCTCCCACTCTATCTGTACAAAAAAAAAAGGAAAAATATCCTCGGATGAGGATAAAAAAAAAAAAAGTACTGCTTATAAGGATGCTCAGTGAATTTAATAAGGGCCTCAAGAGCATCAAAAAGGACCAGTCAGAAATAATGGATGCACAGTTAGAAACAAAAAGGCTTTAACTGAAATAAAGAATAATTTACACAGCTTCAATAGTAGAGTACGTAAATCCAAGAAGCAAACCATCGATTTGGAATAAAGGAAGCAAAAAACGCCCAATCAGAACAGCAAAAAGAAAAAAGAATCCAAAAAAATCAGGATAGTGTAAGGAGCCTCTGGGACAACTTCAAGCGTGCCAACATTCACATCTTGGGGGTGCCAGAAGGAGAAGAGCGAGAACAAGAAATCGAAAACCTGTTTGAAACAATAATGGCAGAAAAATTCCCTAACTTGGTGAAGGAAAGAGACATACAAGTCCAGGAAGCAACAGAGAGTCCCAAACAAGATGAACCCCAAGAGGCCCACACCAAGACACATCATCATCAAAATGCAAAAGGTTCAAGATAAAGAGAGAATCTTAAAAGCAGCAAGAGAAAAGCAGTTAGTTACCTACAAGGGAGTTCCCATAAGGCTGTCAGCTGATTTCTCAACAGAAACTTTGCAGGCCAGAAGGGAGTGGCAAGAAATATTCAGAGTGATGAAAAGCAAGAACCTACAACCAAGATTCCTCTATCCTGCAAAGCTGTCATTTAGAATCGATGGCCATATAAAGAGTTTCCCAGACAAGAAAAAGTTAAAGGAGTTCATCACCACCAAACCGTTATTATATGAAATGATGAAGGGTCTTTTTGAAGAAAAAGATAAAATATATGAACAAACAAAATGGCAATGAATACATATCTATTGCCAATGGAATCTACAAACAAAATGAACAGGCAGAACAGAAACATTCTCATAGATACAGAGAACATTTTGTAGGTTGCCAGATGGGAAGGGGGTTGGGGGAATGGGTGAAAAAGGTGAAAGGATTAAGAAGTACAAATTCATTGCTAGACTGACAAACCTCAAAGGGAAAGGGGTTTGGGGGTGGAAAGAAATAAACCAAAGAACTTATATGCATAACCAGCGGACACAGACAATAGTATGGGAAAAGGTGGGAGGGGGGCGGGACAGGGGAGGAGGGGGTCAATGGGGGAAAAATGAGGAACATCTGTAATACATACAACAATAAAGATTTAAAAAAATTTTTTTTCCCTTTATTAATTTTAATTTTTTTTTTTTTTTTTTTTTTGGTACATGCCCCTAGTGGGGTCTGAACCCAGGACTCTCTGGTCTGCAGGCCAATGCTCCAACCGCTGAGCCAAACCGGCCAGGGCGTCCCTTTATTCATTTTAGAGAGAGAGGAAGTGAGAGGGAGAGAGAGATAGAAACATTGATGGGAGAGAACATCGATTGGCCACCTCCTGCATGCCCCCCACTGGGGATCGGGCCCACAACCTGGGCATGTGCTCTGACCTGGAATCAAACTAGCGACCTCTTGGTGTATGGGTCAACGCTCAGCTGCTGAGTCACACCGGCAGGGTTGGCAACCAACTCTTACACTGCCTCCCTACAAAGGAGCTCCCTTGACTTACTGCCCACCATCTACCACTCCACTTGGCAGGTCTCCTTAGAGTCTGCAGACCAGAAACCATTCCCTTTTGTCTCAGCACTGGATCACCTGCTTATGTCCCACACTGCCTCATCCTTGGAGGCCCAGCTGTGCTCTACCTGCAAACTCCCCTCAGAAGCTTGCCTCTGACAACACCTTAGTCACTGAGCTCCTGCAGCCTGGGTTGGAGCCCTGTACTCTGGTTGGTTTTGGTTCCTGCATAGGGCCTCACTTGCCATTCCCAAGGGAAGAGTTTTTGAGGACACAGCCTAAGTTTCCCATTTCCCTGCTCAGATGGGGGCTCCCAGAGGACAAGACCCAGGCTTCTTCTCTTCTACCCGACTAGAGACCCCCAGAGGACCAGTCTTGACTTTCTATCTTGCCTCTCAGACTGCAAATATGGCTTCTGTATCCTCCTTCCCCTCAGACTGGGGAAGTCCAGGGCCTGAATCTCCCCTTTCTCCTTCAGAATGGGGGCTCCCCAAGGACTGACCCACAGTCTCCTCCCCAATCTCTCCACTTGGCTGTTGATTCTAGAATTTTTCATTCTACATTCTGTACAACTCTCCCCACAGCCAGACACTCAGGAGCCTCTGGAGCCTCCCCTGGGCCTGGGGCCTGGGGCCTGGGAGGGCTTCCTCTGGCTCTAGACTGAACACATGGCTTAGAGGACAGGCCCTTCCTCTGGGACCCTGAGGCCCAGTGCCCACCCAAAGTTCCTCTGACATCATAAGGCTGTCTCGGAACCTGGTTTCCATGGCTCTGCTGGCGGGAGAAGTGATGCTATTTTAGGCAGTTCATCTGGACTTGGCTCCAGTAGCACGGGCCAAACCCCTGCCCCACTAACCTCTCCCCTGGAGGAGCAGAGCAGAGCAGAGCAGAACAGCACTCAGAGTCACTCCAGGGAGGGTTGAGAGACGGTCCCTAGACTAGGGACACAGGAACAGCGGAGCCCTAGCTGGGGGAGCAGCCAGAACCTGGGACAGTCATGGAGAAACAAAACTAAGTCCTGCTGTACCTGCGACGCCTCCAAGCTGGGCGCTGAGAAACAAGGCTCTTCAGCAGGGTGAGTCTGGCTCTAGGCAGGGCTGGGACAAGGGGTCCTCCCCAGAGGCCTAGGCCTGGGAATTCCACTCTCTAGGGACCATATGGGGATGAGGTGACCATGGGACTGTCTGGGGAAGGAACGTCAGCTGGGATGTGAAAGCCAGGGTGTCTGGTTTAGTCTTGAGTTACTGCATTACACTCTCTGGACTTCAGTTGCATGTTGGGAGGCTTGCCTTGACCAGTTTGGCTCAGCAGTCAGAGCGTCGGCTCTCAGACCAAAGAGGCGCAGATTCCATTCCGGTCAAGGGCATGTACCTTGGTTTTGGTTAGTCCCTGGCCCTGGTTGGGGTCGTGTGGGAGGCAACCAGTCGATGTGTCCCTCTCACGTCTATGTTTCTCTCTCTCTCCCTCCCTCCTATTCTATCTGAAGATAAATAGAAAAATATCCTTGGGCGAGGATTAAAAAGAATAATAATAAAAACGAATAAATGAATAAATGAATAAATGAATGAATGAATGAATGAATAAATAAATAAATAAATAAATAAATAAATAAATAAATAAAAGATTTTCTCCTTTGAATGTCGGGAAGCTCCACAGAGCAGACTGGGAGGATGTGTAGCACTGGGCTGTCAGCAGGGTGAGGAGTGGGGCCAGGAGAGAATGGAGACCAGCGATGCTGGACTAAAGCAGAAGGGATGCAGATCAGGGAGATGGGTTGGTTGCTGGCTTTGCTGGAATGGTATCTCCCCCTGGAGTCGCTTCTTGAGAGGCTGGGGCTGGGGCTAAAGGGTTTCTGCAATCAGGCTAGGGTTGTGAACTGTGCTGCAGTTAGAGGGAATTGGGCTAGAGAACAAGGGGGACATACAGGATGAGGAAACTCAAGAGTTATGTTTGTGCTGCCATTTGTGTGGAAAATGGGAATACAAGGAATTTCCAGGGATGGTGAGAAAGATAAATTTTGCTCTGAGGTGGGGGTATGGACTAAATTATTTTTTAGGACCTCATCGTGTGTGTGTGTGTGTGTGTGTGTGTGTGTGTGTGTGTAAGGAAGAGTCCCTTGAAAGTCAAGCAGCAAGAGGGCTTGAGGTTAGACTAAAGGCAATAATAGTATGTAAGGGATGTAAGGGTAGAACCACTGAGGGGAGTCTGTGGGGATCCCCACTGTCCAAAGTGGGGTTGCAGACATGGGAAGGTCAGAAGGAGCTCTGAGCACGTGGTCCAGAAGTCAGGGGTCCTAAGGCCAGCAAGAGCAGTCGGGGTGGGACTCCAGGGCCTCTTCCCATTGGCTGAAGCACATCCAACTGCATCCCTACTCCCTGCTAGGTTGACTGGGTTGAGGGGTTGGAATTGCCAGTAACTGGCCCTGTGATTTCTCCCACTGCAGGTTGAGATCTGATGAGAACGTGGGGTCAAGTTCTGTGCCCCCAAGCCCTAGTGACCTCTCTTTGTTTCCATAGCATCTAAAAATCTCTGCCAGAATATGACTCAAGCAGACAATACGCGGTAAGCATCCACTCATTCCTCTATTCCCATCTCCCATGTCCCACCCAGCGCACCCAGTGCCCTCTCTGCCCCACTCTCAGCCTCTCCCTCGTGTCAGTTGATGCCCTCATAGCTCATGGGGCCCAGAAGAAGGGTCTCTCCCACCTGCACCTATAGCCAAGCACAGGCTGGGCCCTGGGTGAGGGGAAACTCAGAAAGACCTGGGTAAGGGTCAAGCGGTTGGTCAGTGATGGTGCTCAATTGAAATGGACTCATTACTTCTCACTCTCTCAGGCTCAGGTTTCTTTGGGGTAAAATAGAAGCCAAAGTCCTTGCTATGGCTGAGGCCCTACCTACACAGTCTTATTTCCTCTCTGACCTTCCCCCACCCCACCCCCATCCCCCCCACGCCAGTCACACTGACCTCCCTTCCTTACCTTCATACATGCTCAGAGTCCTTCAGTGACTGTTCCCTTTGCCTGAAACACTCTTTTCACAGTTAATCACATGGCTCCTTCCCTCACCTCTTTCGTGTCTTTGCTCAAATGCCTTTCTCTTTCTTTCCCTTTCTCTCTCTTTCCCTTTCTCTCTCTCTTTCCCTTTCTCTCTCTCTTTCCCTCTCTCTCTCTTTCCCTTTCTCTCTCTCTCTCTCTCTCTTTCAAAAGGTGAACAGATAGAGAGACAGGGGCAGGGAGAGAGAGCGAGCGATTTGTTATTCCACTTATTTATGCATTCATTGGTTGATTCTCATGTGTGCCCTGCCTGGGGATTGAACCCGCAACCTTGGCATATCAGGAAGGTGCTCTAACTGAACTACCTGGCCAGGGCTCAGTGAGGCTTACTGACTGATGAGAATGTGGGTGATATAAATCACATCCCAGCCCAGCCAGTGTGGCTCAGTGATTGAGCATCAACCCATGCACCAAGAGGTCGCCAGTTCAATTCCCGGTCAGGGCACATGCCCAGGTTGTGGGCCAAATCCCCAGTGGGGGCACGCAGGAGGTGGCCAATCTATGTTCGTTCTCATTGATGTTTCTATCTCTCTCTTCTCCTCTCTCTAAAATCAATAAAGAAAATAAATAAATAAATAAAATCACACCTCACCTTCTTTTCCTTGCTCTAACTTTTCCCACAGGACATACCTCCTGCTCTGTCCACCTATCCTCTGCCTCTTGACACCTTCCCAGGACTGTTCTTGGTCTCTGCCTGCCTCAGTCTGCTCACAGGCTCTTCTTCAGGGCTGAGAAGGCCAGTCATGGGGGCAAGGGGACCCTACGTGGTGGTGCATGGAAGCTAGAGTTGGATGGGAACCAGTGTATCATCCAGGCAACTTTACATCCCTCCTATGAGTAGTCCTGGATTTGTTTCCCTGGGATAAGGACAGAGCAAGGACTGGGGTGGGTGAGCTATGAACATAGGGGCTCAGCTAGAAAATAGAAAAGTGTTGTACCCATGCCTGGTTCACATTTCTCATTCCCTCTGCTTACTCTTTGCTGCTGTGAGGCTGGGGAAATTTAGGAAGCCTGGGGCAGGATGGGGGCGATGTTGCTATCCCAAGCAGAGCAAGGTAGTAAGTGCCTGGTGTTGGCTTCAGGCAGTCAACAGCTCACCAATCTTAACGAGCACTAAAGGCCACACTTAGAGAGTTATCTCTACCCCTCCTTCTCCATATCTTTAGCCTCTACACCCCATCTCTTCCAAACTCAAGCTCTATCCCACCCCTGCCCCAACAGATGATAGAGCCTGTAACTCACTTTTTCCTCTATCCATCCAATCATGAGCTTATTAAATAAATATTTATTAAGCATCTACCATGTGCCAGGCACTGCAGAAAGTTCTGAGGACCTAATGGAAAGAAAGTAAGACAGATGAATTCCCCAGTGTACATTCATCTTACAATATATACTGAACACCTACTATGTGCCTGGAACTGTGCTTGGCACTGAGAATACACCAGGGAATAAGATCCAGTCCCTCCTTTCCTCTCTCCCTCTCATTTGTTCATTCATTCATTCATTGATTCATTCATTTACATCTACTTGTAAACACCTGTTTCTGTTGACCTGGTTCAGAGACTGGTGCACTTTGCAGACCCCTTCATCTCTGGCAGAACCTGGTGCATATTTCAGGCCTCAGTGCTATTTATAGAGCCTAGGAGTAGACTTTGCCCCACCCTGTGCTCTTTGCAGAATGCCTTGTAGTTGTCAGGTCCTGCCTGATATCTTGCTTATGTCCTCAGGTATATGGGTATCTGGTTCCAGCAGGTAGACAGACAGACAACTGAGTTCCACCTTCTTCCCAGTTCTCTCCCATTTGCTTCTCCTCTAAGTCTTATTGGCACCACAGATGGCATTCATCCGATCCCCTACTGTCTCTTCTACAAAGTGGCCTTGTTGGGGTATCCTTCCCACTGGTCCAGTCTCCACTAGGAAGAAGGGGAATGACCTTGCTATCTGCCCCCAGTTCCTCTCCATGTCTCTGTGACACTCAGGTGTCTCTGATCCCAGCTATTCTAGCAGCCCTGGGCAATATGAGGTGTGTGTGGACAGGCCACTGGGTTATCCATTAACTCAGCCATGAGTTAAAGGGCTGATGGGAAGCAAGTGCACTTGAGTCTCACTTCTGCTCATGGGCTTGGGCTGCTATTTCAGGTCCACTAACAAGGGCAAGATGATTCAGTCGCCCGTGATGGAAAGGGTGCAAGCAATATTGCAGAAGGAGATGGTGCGAGAGTTCCTGGCTGAGTTCATCAGCACATTTGTCATGATGGTGAGTAGGTGGGTGGCACAGGGTGGGTGGGCTGAGGAAGGGGCATGAACCATAGGTACTTCAGGAGGGTGGGGCTCAGTAAGGGCAATCTATGACCCCTCCCACTGCTGGCCCCCTGGGTCACATTGTCCATTTCTGGTCTCTGAGCTGGGAGCCTGAGGGTGAAGCATAAAAAAATAAGGAGAGAACTCTGTCTTTCTCACCAAGTCTTTTTGGGAGAGAAAGGGCTCATACTTTGTGGAGGCAGAACAAAATTATGAGCTGCGGGGGTTGGGGAGGTTGGTGTTGGGGCATGGCTGGAAGTGGGGAGGAAGGAGACTGGAGAGAATGTTGAGTGTCAGGTTTTGAGAATTAATCCTGAAGGCAATGGGGACACATTGAACGTTTTCAAACAGGGGAACCATGTAGTCAGATTTGGATTTTAGAAGGAGATTCTGGGTGAAGTATGGAGTCTCTCAGCAGAATGGGCAAGGCTGGAGGGAGGGGAACCAGTTAAGAGACTGTTGCACAGACCTAGGATAGAGAGAGGATGGTGAATGGTCCAGGGATGGAGAAGAAAGCACATGTTTGAGGCAGCTGTAGAAGATGGAATCAAGGTTTCATAAGCCATAGCTGTGGGTAAGTGCCAAGGGGGCCGTTCTGAGCCCAGAGCCCAGCGCAGGGCAAAAGGTAAGGTTGATCAGGTGGACATGATCAGGTGAAGTGCTGCAGAAGAAATCTAGCAGGTGGTTGGATATAGAGGTCTGGAGCTCACAAGAGTAGCTTGGGCTGAAAGTGTGAAGTTAGAGTTCATCAGAATATGGGTGGTGGTTATAAAAACTGTCCAGTGAGAGTGGATAGGAAGAGAAAATACACTGAGGACAGAGCTCTGGAGAATGAAGAGGGTCACACAAAGGGGCCTGAGAAGTATCGGTCAGGGAAGTAGAAGGAGAAGGTGGGGGAGACCAGGTTACAGAAGTGTTGGGGGTCCACAGGAGGGAGTGGTCAGCAGTGTGGGAGGCTGCAGACAGCCAGAGAAGGTGGGAACTGACCGGGGGCCATGTGGTTTGATGACATGGAAGTAACTGGGGACCCTGGCAAGGACTCATTTAGTGGATGATAGGACAGAAATGAGATCTCAAGCAGATCTCAAGAAACTCCCTCTCACCTGCTTCAGCTCTGCCACTTTTCCCAGCCAGCCTCTGCCCCTAAGCTGTAGCCATGCTTGTCTGCACCTTAGGGAGGACCCAGGTTCACGAAAAAAAGGGGCAGCCTCTGGGAAAAAAAGCAAGGCAGGCAGGAGCACACCAGAGAAAGTAGGGGGGAGAAGGCATTGTGTGTGAGACAGTGTGTGTGCGCCTGAGTGTGTGTGTGTGCATGTGAGTATGAATGTAACTGGTTGTGTACGCATTGAGCCACAGGGTAGGAGATGATGGGACCTACGGAGCCCAAGGGAGATCTCTCCGTGGCTTAGAGCCTGTCGTCTCAGTTATAAAATGTGCTGAATGGGGACTTCATAGGCTTTGGAGCTTGGTTTCAATTCCAGCTCTGCCATCTTCTACCTGTGTGATCTTCCATAAGTGTCTGAACTATCCAGAACTTTACCTTCCTCATTAGTAAACATGACACTAACATCGAGCTGGCAGACTTGTGTGAAGAAGGCCAAGAACCCAATACCCAGTTCACGTGTAGGACACATGGGTTGGTCTCTGGTCATGATAACAAGTGCTCTCACCTTCTCCTCTTCCCCCATTACTCACCCTCCTGCTTGGCTCCTGGGCTGTGAGGACAGAACTGGATTCTGTCCTGTCTTAAACCAGGGCAAAGTAATTCATTTATGACAACACATTCCAGTCCTGTAAGGGCTGTTAAACCTTGGAACCGTGGAGGCAGGAGGGTGCCTCCTTGGAGAGCTCTTAGAGGAAACAGGTACCACCATATACATTGATGCCTGCCTATGTCCATGTTTCTCTTCCTTTTATCAAGATTATTATTGAGCACCTTCTGCATACCAGGCACTGATGCTAAACTAAGCCCCTTACATGCAGCCTTTTCCCAAATCCTTACAACAGTCCTGTGAGGGTCTATTAATACTTCCATTTCTGAGATGGGGAATCAGACTCCACGAGACTGTTACTTGACCAAGGTCACATTTTAAGTAAGATTAAATCCAGTCCAGTCTGTCACAGTCTTGACCCTTAATCTCTATGCTCTGTCCCTTAGCTTAGCTAGGGTAGGATTTATAACATCCTAACCCTAACCCCAGCTGAGGTAAGGCCCTCACTTTCAGGCTTTGGGTAGTCCAAGACCTCACTCTGGGCCTGTTTTCCCCATATGTAGAGGAGCAGAAACATTTGCCATTTAGATTTTCTGTGAGAATTAAGAATAAGTAACACATGTAAAAATACTTTGGGAGGTTTAGGCTAATAAAGGACATTGTGTTATTGTTATTTTTATTTGTTGGGCCTCTGCCAAATTGATAGGAAGTTCAGTGAGTCATTAGGGTGAAAGTTTTATGAGAAAAGCAAGTGTGACCTTGGGCTTCGTTTACTGCATCCGGGATGAGGGAAATGGACTGTCCTACTCAATTCTCCTCTGTGATCTCTGGGGGTGTTGTCCTCTAGGCTGGCTTTCTGGCTGTTGGAGGGACTTGGACAGGTTGGGCCACATTTACTGACAAGGAAGGGGAGGAGCTGGACCATCAGGGCTCTGAAAAACCAGCCGTAGATGTAAACTGGACCATAGGGCAGGGGTTGTAAACTCACATGCGCCAGGGCCTAGAGAGAGCAACTCAGAGTGGTGGGGCCTGTGGCTAACTGCAGAGTGCTGACCTGTTCAAGGACGCAGCTGCCACTGCTCCAGCTGACTGTTGCCTGGAGGGCAGAATGCAGGTCCGCATCACTGGGCTTCTGATTTCTCGAGAAGCTGAAACTTCTGATCATCAAACCAAATTACCCAAAACCAAGCTTGTGTGCTGGATGGATTAGGCCCACAGGCTGCCAGTTGGCAACTGTGACACAAGAGATCATGTGGGTTTTTTTCACTCATTCATTATTTTTAGCAAATGGTTCTGAGCTCCTACTTGGAAATAAAGACCCTTGGTCTTCAGACCCTCTATGATGGCTCCACTCCCTGCGCTTCCTGGCACCCCCCACCCCAGACCTGTCAGCCTGTCTTGGCCTCACTCCCTGCTCCCACACCCCATCTCTTCCTGTCTTTTCCTGTCTCATCCTACCCTTGTCCCTAAGCTGGCCCGCCTCTGGGCCCCTCTGCACCTGTCCTGGGCCTCTTGAGGAACCCAGTGGACTCTGCTCACTGTCTCTCCCCTACTCTATTCGGGCTATTTCACTTTTCCTCAGACTTCCCCAAAGCTACTCTGTACTCTGCCTGTTTTTTTAATCAGCAAATGGCTTTCTCTCCATCAGGTGGGCTTCCTGTGTCTGGCTCCTTACCCACCTGTCCCTCTCACCAGCAGAACACACCTACCTGTGCACCCATATTTCTTCCCCTCCACTAGGTCAGGGCCCCTCCTTCACGGAGGACCCTCCACTTCTGCACCATTCCCACCCCTCAGTCTACTGAGGTACTTCACTCCGTCCTTTTCTCTCCTTTGTCTCCAGCCTCTCCCTCTCTCAGTCTTAACATACCAAAGTCTCTCTACTTAAAACAACACAACACAGAACAAAACATCTATCCCTTCATCCCATGAGCCCCTTCATTTATCACGTTCTCACTCCCTTCTTTCTCAGGCAGGTTCACAAAGGGAGATCTATCCTGGACCACTTCAACTCTTCCTCACGGCCTACTTACCTCTCAGTCTTTAGGACCTGGCTTCTGTCCCCACGGCCTGATGATACAGTCCTCACCACATTATTAATGACTGCTGGATTATCACATCCAAAGGGATGCTTTTCAGGCCTTCATGCACTTGACCAAAAGGCTGCACCAGACTGTGTAGACCACAACCTCCTTGGGAAGCTGCTTCTCCCTGGTGCCCAGGACACCTTCTCTCTTTCTTCTTCTTTCATTTAAATAGCTGCTCCAGCTGGGGTTTCTAAGCCCAGACATGAGGACCAACGTGCAGCTCTAGGTTTAGCCCCGGGTGCCTTTTCACTGTCCTCTCACCTGCCCTCATCCTGCCTGGTGGCTTCAGAGGGAGCCCTCATGTTCACAGTTCTCCAGGATTTCTTTTCCAAAAACTCCAGAATAGAACTGTCCAAGGGAAATACAATATGAGCCATATATGTAGTTAAGAATGTACTAGCAGCTATATTAAAAAGGTAAAAAGTGCCCTGGCTGGTTTGGCTCAGCGGTTAGAGCGTCGGCCTGCAGTCCAGAGAGACCCAGATTCGGTTCCCGCTAAGGGCATGTACCTCGGTTGCAGTTTGTCCCCGGTCCTGGATGGGTTGTGTGGGTGGCAGCCACTCGATGTGTCTCTTTTACATCGATGTTTCTCTCTCTCTCTTCCTCTCTCTCCCTCCCACTCTACCTGAACAAACAAACAAACAAAAAAATAAAAATAAAAAAGGTAAAAAGTGACAGGTGAAACTAATTTTAATAATTATATTTAATCCATATAGCCAAAATATTACCAGTTCAACGTGTGATCAATATACAATTTTTAAAAAATATTTTAGATCAGATAGAGTGGGGGGGGGGAGAGAAACATCGACGTGAAAGGGACACATCGAGTGGTTGCCACCCTCACAACCCAACCAGGGCCGGGGACAAACTGCAACCGAGGTACGTGCTCTTAGCGGGAACCGAACCCGGCTCTCTCTGGACCACAGGCCGACGCTCTAACCGCTGAGCCAAACCGGCCAGGGCAATATACAATTATTAATAAGATTCTACATTCTCCTTTCCTATTAAGTCTTTGAAATCTGGTTTGTACTTTGTACTTAAAGCAGATCTCAATTGTGGGACTAGCCACATTCCAAGTACATAATGGCGACATGTGGCTAGTGACCAACATGTTAAATGATACAAATCCAAGACTCTGACTTCCAGCAGTCTGGACATCTAGAGGTCCCTCAGAGTCAATGTGTCTATAACACATGGACTTTTCAGCGGAGGTACCATTTGAGTGTGGCCTTAGAGTATCATTTTTTCAGGATCTAGGATCACGTATGACAGAGGGAACAGCATAAGCAAAAACACATGAAAAAGCAAGGCATTCAGGGAGTAGTGTGGTTGTTTGGTTTGAGGCTATCTGGCATAGATGACTGCCTAGATTCAAATCCTGGCTTACTATATGCAGGCTGTGTACTTGGGACAAGCCACTCAACTTCTATAAGCCTTGGATTGCCCATCTGTCAAATGGGGAGGTTAATAGTACCTAATGTACATGTTGGTGTGAGGGTTAAAGGAAGTGATAGATGGCACATAGTCAGTTGTCAAGAAATGGTTATTATTATTTAGTAGTAATACTACTTCTGAACATAGAGAACACTGGAGCAGATAAGAAACCGAGAGGCAGAAATTATAAAGGGTCTTGAATGGTGGCCTACTGAGTTTGGACGTCACCCTGGAAATGAAGGAGAGCCAGTGAATGTTTGAATGAGGGGCAGCCACAATCACATCTCTGTGTTAGAAAGTTCCCTCTGGTTGTAAGGAGGAGGCTGTAAAGATCTGGGGAGAATGTAAGCAGGACTGATTAGGTATGGAGGAAGAGGCAGAGAAAGCTCTCATTTGTGACATCCAAGTTTCTGGTTTGGCCAAATGAAATGGAAACATAGGATGAGGATCACATTTTCTGAGATAGTGCGCTTTCAACATAGAGCCTGAGATGCCAGACTTCCAGTGGGTATCTGAAAATAAGGACCTGGCTCCTAGGTAGAGATTTTGGGAATTTTAGTGCAGTAGGCATATCTGAAGCCATAGACCTGGTAAGAAAACCCAAGAAGAGTGACTGGGGTGAGACACAAAAGGAGCCAGAGATGGAGCTCTGGGATCATTCATATTAATGAACCAGATGAAGGAAAAAGTATGTGAGAAGGAACTGTAGAGAGGAAGAGGCTATGGAGGTAAGAGGAAAACCAGGAAGGAGATAGGCTATGGAGGCGAAGAGGAGGGACTTTCCAGGAGCACAGAGTGGTCAAAAGGTTCAAAATCAGCCAAGTCCAGTAAGACAATGTCTGAAGGGACCTTTAGGAAACCAGAAGGCTGGAGCCCTCAGAGAGAGCTTCGGTGTTGGTGAGATGTGGAAGCAGAAGCCAAATTGAGGAGGGAGGGCAAAGGAAGGGATAAAGGAGCCAGACAGTGGGTTCTTTCCTGGAGCTAGACACAGGGAGGGGCATCCAGGAGTTCCACAGGTAGAAAGGAAGGCTGGGCTGAGCTGGGAAGGTTTACTTTCAGGAAGGAAGAGACCTGAGTCTGTGGGAGCCAGTCAAGCAGTTAGGGGTAGGCAAGAGCTAGAAGTGCAGAAATGACACCTGAGGGCAATGGAAATGTTGCTGAGGGCAAGAGAGTTAGAACCCAACTGGCTTCCAGGGCTAATATGTGTAGGGGTGGGGGATTGTGGGTGGGGGCCATGGCAGAGTCCAAGCATGAAGTTTGCAGATCCCTTGAAGAAGCTACCTTCAGGTTAGGCTGAAGTGTGAGTTGCTCTGAGGGGTTCAAGCCACAGCAGCCATGCACTCCTCGAAGCCCTGCCCCCTCCCCTGAACCTCAGGTGGGCTTGGGGTTCAGGGGCCTGGATGTCTCTATAAAAGCCTCTGACTCTGCTGCCCCACCCTGGCTCCTTTTACATCCCCACCCAGCTCTCACTGGTTAGGTCTTAGAGGCCTTGACAGGGGCACGTGGGGAGAGGTCAAGAGGTGGGAAGTCTCTGCATGAAGAGAGCATGGCAGAGGGTCTTTAAGGGCAATTTGGGGAGATCCATGAGAGTGAGGAGCTCAAATTGAGCTCTGATCCCTCCTCTGAGGTGGGGGCTTCTGGGAAGACAGTCCTCTCAGAGGTCCTCCCTCACAGGTGTTTGGCCTTGGCGCTGTGGCCCATATGGTTCTAAGAGAAAATACACTTGGGAGCTACTTTGCTGTCAACGTGGGTTTTGGCTTCGGAGTGACCATAGGAGTGCACGTGGCAGGGAAAGTCTCTGGTGAGTGAGCCTGGGCCCTGCCCAAACAGCAAGGCCAAGGATTCCCTGAAGGTTCTTCCTGCCCACCTCCAGCCACCCCTTCTCCCAGTTAGCCAGCACCTCACCCTCACTGGCCACCTAGAGGGAGAACACCTCAAACCCTTTTCTCTGTCTCACCCAGATTCTTCAAGAACCTCCGTGACCCACCATTTTTGCTAGTTGGGTCAACTTAGCTAAACTACTTAACTTCTCTTCTCCTCACTTTCTTCAGTGGTCAAATAGAGACAGTGGTCCCTGCCTCAGTGGGTCCTTGTGATAATTAAACGAGAGGGCACTGCCCTGCTGGTGTGGCTCAGTGGTCGAGCATCGATCCATGCACCAGCAGGTCACTGGTTCTATTCCCCGTCAGGGCACATGCCGCGGTTGTGGGCCTGATCTCCAGTGAGGGGCATGCAGGAGGCGGCCAATTGATGTTCTCTCTCATCGATGTTTCTGTCTCTCTCCTTCTCCCTTTCTAAGATCAATAAAGAAAAAAATAAATGAGAGAGCACGACACAAATGCTTGCGTTATTATTACTGTCGATGCTCTCCATGCTATTATTGCTGTTGGTGTCTACTCTCTCTCCCGACACACTTGCCCTCCCTGCAGGGGCCCACATGAATGCAGCGGTAACCTTCACCAACTGTGCACTGGGATATCTGTCCTGGAAGAAGTTTCCTGTGTACGTACTGGGTCAGTTCCTGGGTTCCTTCCTGGCTGCTGCCGCCATCTACTTCCTCTTCTACAGTGAGTATCCTGCCCTGGGTTGGCCACTTCTGGCCTCACCCTCCTCCTCTGAAATATGGGCAGATCGGACTTCAGTGTCCTGGACTGTGAAAATGTCTGGGAGAGAAAAGCCTTGGAGATGCCCCCACCCCTCCATCCTACAACTTTATTTCTAGGACTCCAGTGGGGTTGTTGAGCTAGGGGAAGGTTCACACTCAATCTGTGTCTCCACAGCAGCCATTATGGAATTCACGAACGGAAATCTGACAGTGACTGGTCCTATAGCCACCGCTAACATTTTTGCCACCTACCTTCCTGACCACATGACACTGTGGAGGGGCTTCCTGGATGAGGTCAGTGGCTCAGGGTGGGTGCCCTTCACAGGCCCTCCCCATCTCAGGAAGGGATCAGCAGGCAGCCCTTCACTACAGAAAAGATAAGTATTCTGGTGGGAAATGTACCAAGATATATCTCTGTTAGTGGGTTTGGACTGGGGGCACTACTGAGGCTCTGTGACTTGGTAGGGGCTCTGGGTGGCTGCCATGGCATCTGTTCCCCAGGTGTTCCTTACGGGGATGCTCCAGTTGGGTATCTTCGCCATCACGGACAAGCGTAACAACTCAGCACTGCAAGGGACAGAGGGCGTGGTGATTGGCATCCTTGTTCTCATCATTGGAGTGTCCCTAGGCATGAATTCAGGATATGCCATCAACCCATCCCGGGACCTACCTCCTCGCTTCTTCACCTTTATTGCCGGTTGGGGCACACAGGTCTTTAGGTACTGCCCTGCCCAGCCCACTCCTCTTGAGTTTTTGGTGGGTTCCCTGCATGCGGAGGGTGGGTGAGGTAAGGAGCAGCACAGGAGAGTCCTGCAGAGCTGCCAGGTGGCCTGGGGAGGCAGGAGTGGGTCCCGACCTGCCCTCTGACCAGCACTGAATGCAGATCCTGTTCCTGGACTGAATGTAAATCCTGCCCCAGATCAGCCCCTGTTTCTGAATCAGGGTGAAGCTGACCAGGTTCTCAGGCTCAGGGGTGACTCCTGAGCTAGGATATCACTTCTCTACTCTCTGGCCTACTTCCTGTCTCAGTGCGAGGTGGATGCATGTGTTATCACAGGCAATGACCTCTTCACCAGGCCTCTGCCTCTTGCCTGCAGGGCCAAGCACTGGTGGTGGGTGCCAGTGGTGGCACCAACCCTGGGTGCTTACTTAGGAGGCATCATCTACTCAGTCTTCATTGGTTGGACCATCCCAAGGGAGCCTCAGATAATGGAGAACCCCACAGAGTATGAAGACCACCAACTGCCCAAGACCATGCCTCACCACACCACAACCCCTTCCCTTGCCTCTGTCCCTGTGCCCACCTCCAACAAATCTTCAATCCGGCCTGTCCCACCCTCAAATGACTCCATCCGAATACAGCAATTCTAAGTAATACTGTTTGTGACCACAGCTTCACCCCAATAAAGCCTTGTCCCACAGTGGCACTCTCTGTTGGTGTTGGTGGTATAGTGGTGAGCATAGCTGCTTTTCAAAATGGCACCCTCGCTTCCTGGGTGCCTCCTATGGTTGGGCTTCCCTCCTGGGTTCTTCCAGGAACTTTAGGGTTATGCCATAGCCCAAAGCTGGAGCCTGGATCTAAGAGGCTTCCAACTCCTTCCAGTCCAGGAAGCTGGGACGCCCCCTGGGGGAGAATGGGGACGGGCCAATGGGGACCAGGAGGACCAGGAGATTAAAAGATGCCAGGCACATAAGAGTGGACTTTCAGGCATAGGATAGAAAAGGGATAGTTTGAAAAAGGATAACAGCTAACTGGTGGCAGGGGAGGAGGGGTTGGTGGTGGTCAGCTCGGGATATCCTGAGCTGCCCTGGGACAGGACTTGAGACTCTCCCTCAGTTTTGGCCAGTGTGTGTACCAGACAAGACAAAGCCCAAGTATGTAGATCAGAGTTTCTCAATGTTTTCTTTCATTATTGCCCCACCTCAGAATCTCTATCTCTATCTCTATCTCTATCTCTATCTCTATCTCTATCTCTATGTCTGTCTATCTATCTATCTATCTATCTATCTATCTAATTATTATTTTTGCCCTGGCCAGTTTTGCTCAGTGGTTAGAGCATTGGCATTGGCCCATGGACCAGAGTCACAGGTTCGATTCCATTCAAGGGCATGTACCTTGGTTGCAGTTTGGTCCCCGGCTTTGGTCGGGGTCATCTGGGAGGCAACCAATCGATGTGTCTTTCTCACATCTATGTCTCTCTCTCTCTCTCTCTCCCCCACTCTGTCTGAAAATAAATAAAAAAATATCCTCAGGTGAGGATTTTAAAAAATTAAATAAGCCCTGGCCAGTTTGGCTCAGCGGTTAGAGCGTCGGCCTGCAGTCCAGAGAGACCCGGGTTCGGTTCCCGCTAAGGGCATGTACCTCGGTTGCAGTTTGTCCCCAGCCCTGGTTGGTTGTGCGGGTGGCAGCCACTCGATGTGTCCCTTCACATCGATGTTTCTCTCTCTCTCTCCCTTCCTCTCTCTCCCTCCCACTCTATCTGTACAAAAAATGGAAAAATATCCTCGGATGAGGATAAAAAAAAAAAAAAGAAAAATAAAATATATAAGAATTGGAAAAAGAAAAGAAAATAAAAAATTAAATAAAAAATATCTATCTTTTTAATTTGTAATTGAGTTTTACAGAAAGAGAGAAAGGGAGAGGGAGAGAGATGAGAAACACTGATCGGCTGCCTCCTGCATGCCCCCCACTGGGGATCCAGCCTGCAACCCAGGCATGTGCGCTGACCTGGAATCACCAGCAACCTCTTGGTGCATGGATGATGCTTAACCAACTAAGCCACAACAGCCAGAGCTAGATATTTTTTTCTTAATCACATAATATTTTAATACCACAGATATACTGTAGATCAGTTTATGTACTTTATACATATCTGTATTTTATACAGAAATAATAAAATCTTTTTCACTTTTCCCTTTCAAGAATCAATTTTCTCTTTGGGGTAAAATTACCCCCCACCCTTGAAAATGATTGATGTAGACAGATGGAAAGTATGTAAGAGGTTAGACTCCTTGTCTTTATTCCCGGTGCCAGAGCTGTTCCATGTTAAGAAATTCCAGAGTTAGAAAGAAAGATGCAGGGAGGGAAATCCTTCGAAAAGGTGTAGACAGGAAAGGGTCTCATGGAGTTCAAGGGGACAGGCCTAGAAGTTGGGTGGAGATGGGGCAGCCAGGACTCCCAGACTCTGGGGCCAGGCAGGAATCATCATGCTTTCTGGGATTCAGAAGGTAGCATTATCCATGGTTCCTGTCATTGCTTGTGTGTTTATCTTTTCAGCAATTATTGAGCACCTCCTGTGTGCAGGCCTTGCCTGGGCACTGGAGCTGCTGCAGTGGATGAGGCTGGGTCTCTGCCTTTGAGGAACAGTCTAATGGGGACAAGAGGAAAGAGCTAAGTGGTGGATAGGGGGCTACATGGAGGCTGTAGGGCTCACAGCCTGGCCTCAAAGCCAAGGCCAAGGATGGCTTTCCAAAGGAGACAGAGCAGAGTTGGGACGGGAGGGGGGGGTTATACTTTTAGGGGCTGGCTGCTGCACTTTACTGATTGAGGGGACAGGGAACAGAAGAGGCTAAGCTTTCTTCGGGAGGTGGGGACATGGTGAGAAGAGATTTAGAAAGCCCACCTAAGCTGCTTAGTGAAAAAGAAGGAGATTGGGGCCTGCATGGGGGTGTGGTAAGAAGCAATAATCCTGGAGGAGCAGCAGTGCACCTCATAGGTCAGTGCTGGTGGGCGTGGAGAGGAGAGAAGTGTTTCACTCAGTAACTAGGAGGTAAAACCCTCAGGACTTGGGCTCGGATTTGATAAAGGAGTGGATGAGGATGAGGCGGGAGGCAGGTGTGAGTTGCAGTTTCTGGCTTGGGCCTGGACATTGGAGGTGTCCCCACTGAGAGCAGAGCATGGGAGGGGAGCTGATTTGGAAAGGAACATTATAAACTATATCATGGACATGTTGAGCTTGAGTGTCTATGGAACTTGAAGTGCAAGAGACGTGTAGTCTTGGGCAAGTTCCTCAACATCTCTGGGCTTTTTTTTCTCATTTGTAAAATGGGTCTAATAATATTACCTACCATTTGTGTTGCTGTGAATATTCAATGGAATAAAACATACAATGCGGAGAATAGCGCTTGACGCAGAATAAGTGCTCAATAAACAATATGTCTTTTGTATAGTCTGGAGTTCAGAAGAGTTGAAGACAAAGATGGAAAAAGTTGTGGTTGTGTGGATATTGTGAAAGAAGGGTCAGTAAGCAGAATCTTGGAAGCACAGCTGGGAGGTGGATGTGAGGTGTGCAGTGGCCACCTCAAGAGGTCTAGCTGAGAATGGGGCACAAAGTGGATGGTCAGGGGGCACTGGAAACAATCGAAATGTCCATCAACACGGGACTAGACACATTGCAGTACAGTCACACACAACAGATTCGAAACATCAGTGAAAACTAAGGCACAGTAGCTACCTGCAACTACATGGAAAAACTTTGGAGGCATAAAAAGAAATGCAGTAGACTGTAGGCAGTATGACATCAGTTATACTGTTGAAAAACACATAAAAAGTAACATATTCTTTGGGCAAACATGTGATAAAACTACTTTTAAAAAAAAGAGATGATGCTTCCAGGGATATAGGGTTATAGAAATGGGAGATGAGATGGGGAGGAGCATGGGTGTGTGTGTGTGTGTGTGTGTGCACAAGCTATTAATGATTTTCTAATTTTGGAGTTTGGGAAAAATATATGGGTTTATCATATGATTGTGCTTTATAACATAACTGTGATATATATTTGTAGGTTTCATATATTTAAAAAGATGAAGAAATAGTTAAAGCATGAGACTAGGTGGTGGAACGAGTAGTGGGTTGGAGCCTGCTGAGATTAGAGGTCTGAGTATGTCTGACGTCCCATGGCAGAAGGAGCTTAGCCAGGGAACCAGGCTTGAGAGTGACCAGGGAAGGGCCAGTCCCAGCCAGCTGCTTCTCTCTGTGACCCTGGACAAGCCTGTCTCTTCCCCTCTGTCAGCTTTAGGGCTCTGTGAACACAAGGAGAATGGCCTTTTTAAATCCTGGTGTTTCAGAGCAGCGCTTCCATAAGGCCTTCAGGCACAGGTAAGAGAGATATATTATGGGCCTCAGGGTTCTGGTTGCTACCCTCCTCTGTCCCTCATTGACTACTTCAGCCTTCTGGCATCCTCACATTCCTGGGAAGTGGCCTCAGGGCCAAGGTGGCCAGTGGGTCCATCCAGAAACCCTGCCTGCTGCTCACCGCTCTGCCACACACCTACACTAGGCCCATTACCCATAACTTCCTGCAGATCCTGATCCCAATGTCAGACTAGATGAGCCCTGACCCCAGTCACAGAGCATTTCTGTACACAGAGCCCAGACCCCTTTCATTCTCTTGGCAGATGGTTGAAAGCCTACAACATGCCAGACACCATTCCAGTGCCCGAGGATACAGGCACAAAGGAGATACACAAAAGTTCTTATTCTCATGGAGCTGACATTCTGTGCAAAAACCTGCAGTGTGATAGTGATGAATGCTAGGAGGAAAAGCAGGAAAGGGAGATAAGAAGTGTGTGGGGGCGTGAAGACAGAGGCCTCATTGAGATGACTTTGAGTAAAGACCTGAAGGGGATGAGGAAGTGAGCCATATGGACATCTAGGGGAAGAACATGCCAGGCTGAGAAAGAGCCAGTGTTAAGGTTCTGAGGTGGGAGCATGGAGGGGCCATTGCTGGAATGGAAAGAGGGAGGGGAGAGTGCAAGAAGATGAGGTCAGAGAAGTAAGAGGAGTAGGGTGAACTGATGCCAGGCCTAGCAGAGGTGAGACCAAAGCTTGGAGGCAGAAGGTGAGAGGCCTCTGGAGAAGAGAGGCAAGTTTTACTGCAGGAAGGAAGAAGGAAAGGGAGGGGAGGGAGGAAGGAAGGATGGAGGATGGGGGCAGGCATTGTGATGCCTGTAGGTCCTTAATCTCGGTTCTGCGTGCTGTCTCTCTCTCTTTCTTTCTCTCTCTCTCTCTCTCTCTCTCTCTCTCTCTCTCTCTCTCACACACACACACACACACACACACACACACACACACACACACACACAGAGAGAGAGAGAGAGAATCCCTCCTGTAACCAGTCCCTGGCTGGACCCAGGAATCACATCTGTGCAGCTCTGAGAGCCAGGCTAGGACATGAGCCATGGAAACCCTGGCTCCTCTGCTGTTCTCCCACTCCCAGGCCCCGCATGGGCTGGATATGTGAGCTAGAAAGGACCCCCTTTCTCTTGGTTTACCTATCTGTACAATGAGGTTTCAATCTGTTAGTGCCAGGGGAGCCCCCCGCTCTAACTTCTAGACCTTTAAAGCCTCATATTATGATACTACTTCCCTACATATTCCAGTTGAGGCTGGGGATGGGGATGGGGATGGGGGTGGGGTAGAAAGAACTCCCAATCCTAGGCCA